ACTCCAGTCTGGGTGACAGAGTGAGGCTCCAACTCAAAAAATAAAATAAAATAAAATAAATAAATAAAAAAAAATAAAAGTAAGTAATCTGGGCACAGTGGCTCATGCCTATAATTCCTCAGAAGGTTGAGGAAGGAGGATCACTTGAGGTCAGGGGTTTGAACTAACTTGAGCAACATAGCAAGACCCTGTCTCTACAAAAAGTTTAAAAATTAGCTGGTATGGTGACACATGCCTGGAGTCCTAGCTATTTGGGAGAATGAGTGGAAGTATCACTTGAGCTCAGGAATTTGAGGCCGCAGTGAGTTATGACTATACCACTATACTCAGCCTGGACAACAGAGTGAGATCTCATCTCTAAAAAACAAACAAAAATAATTGATGTTTGTTTTACTCCTTGACCAGGCAGACAGGGATTTGCACTGTGCTGCCTGAGTTGGCAAGCAACCCCTATTCCAGCTCCCCTGAAGCCACCTCCCCTCCCCACTGCCTATCCTGCCTGGGGAAGGTACACTGCTCACAGGTAGCTGTGGCCTGAGGATCCTCACTCACTCCCTGAGTCAAAGTATATGAGGGTACTAGGTGGGTCAGCAGGGGTCGGATAGCCACATGGTGGGCAACAATAGGCACATCAAAGACCAGGGTCAGTTCTCTCCTGTGTCTACACACTGATCTACATGTCCTGCTGCAGGGACAAGATATACTCACCTTTCTTCTTCAGCCTGTCGCCTCTCCTGCTCCCTTCGCTCTCTTTCTTTAGTCATTTCCTCAGCTGCAATGTGCCTCAACATGCCTGTGGTTGCAGCTGTTAGTAGATCCTCCATAGCAGCATTAGAAACACTAGACAGAGCAAAGTGGATAGCATTCAAAATCAGAGGGGGAAAAAAGCCAAGGAAACCACATAACTGTCTAACATTGACAAAGAAGAAAAAAATATACAGGTTGAGCATCTCTAATCCAAAAAGCTCCAAAATCAAACTTTTTTAGCACAACATGTCATGCTCAAAGGAAATGCTCATTGGAACATTCTGGATTTCAGATCTGCAGATTAGGGATACTCAACTGGTAAGTATAATACAAACATTACAAAATCAAAAAGATCTGAAATCCAAAACACTTCTCATCCCAAGTATTTTAGATAAGGGATATTCATCCTGTACTTGTTTGGCTTTTAACATAAAAATTAAGCCCATTGTTAGAAACAGATAATCTACCAAAATTGACTCATGAAGAAACAGAAAATCTGAATAGACATGTAATGTAACTAGTAAGAGGACCAACAAAAAAAGGGTATAGGCCCAGAGGGCTTCACTGGTAAATTCTACTAAACACTTATGAAGAACTAACCTCAATTCTGCTCAAACTCTTCCAAAAAATTGAAGAGATGGGAACATCTAACTCATTCTATCAGACCAGCATTGCCCTGATACCAAAAACAAATCAAAGAAACCAGAAGAAAACTACAGACCAATATCCCCCATGAATAGTGACATAAAAACCCTCAAAAAAGAACCAGCAAACTGAATTCAGCAGCATCATAAAAGAACTATGCATACTGCTACCAAAACAAGATAAAGACATTAAAGAAAACTGCAGACCAATAATTCTTATCAACTTTAATGAAAAAAATCCTCAAAAAATACTGTCAAGCTGAATCTGCTGCGCATTAAAAGATTATACACCATCAGGCTTGGTGGCTCAGCCTGTAATCCTGCGCTTTGGGAGGCTGAGGTGAGTGGATTGCCTGAGCCCATGGGCTCAAGACCCGCCTGGGCAACTTGGAAAGACCTCATCTCTACAATAAATCAAAAACTAGCCAGGCGTGGTAGCATGTGCCTGTAGTTCCAGCTACTCGGAAGGCTGAGGCGGAAGGATCACTGGAGCCCAGCAG